CTCACTGGCTGAGCGAGGTGCGGGCGCAACACCGAGGGTTGCGATCCGTTGCCGGTCACGAAAAAAGACAAAAAGGAAAAAAAAGAAAAGAAATTGGCTGTAGTGGGAGTATTTACACCACAGAAATCAGCAAAGCCTACCCATCAGGACTTCATTGATTGACAGACTCAAAAAAGTGATGGAGAAAGGTTAATAACCCAGATTAAACATAACCATTACATCATGATTACCACCAAAAATTGAGCAAGTATTATCCGATTCAGTCAAGAAGTTGCTCATGCCATTGAAGAAAGTGACATGCATCTTTGTTTCACTTTGAGCAAAAACAAAAATATCAACCAACATTCACATCATATATCAGATTTAATGACAATAAGTTTATTCGGGAAAGAATTAGCAGATTGGAATTCGATCACATATGTCAAATCATGGTCGAAATGCAACCACAGGTTGGCTATAGTTACGAGAGATGCTTCTGTAAGAATCAATGGGCTGTATAGAATTTACAACACGTTTTACAATAATAAGTAATATATATCGTATTATTGTTTGTACATCATGCTATGTGCACCTATTATATCAGCAAATGTATAATAAATTTATCTATACACATAAGAGTCCCCCACCCCCTGACGAGGGCAGGTTGTTAGAGATTTGCTAACACACCGCTGCCTGGAGTTAGGAGGTCGGGCGGGTGAGAGGGAAACAGCAAAGGAAACAGAGGAGAGGCTGAGAGGGAAGTGACAGGGAGCAGAGCCTTTGTCCCAGTGGCCAAGTGGGAAAGAGTTTCAAGGACAGATGATCATCTGGGCCAAGTGCCTCTGACAGGTCGACAAGAGAAAAAAGAGAAAGGATGCTTGGATTTGGCAACAGAGCAGTTTCTATGGCATGGTGGAGAGGCAAGCCTGATTCGAGGCAGGTTGCAGAAGCAATGGCGAGAAAGGATGGGGTGCCACGAGCACACACACACCTCCTGGGGAGCTTTCCCGCAACGGGAGCTGAAGCAATGAGGGGCCGAGCAGGGGCTGATTTCTAGAATGGGAGATTTTCTAGCATATCTGCATGCTCGGTGAGAGAGAGAGAGAGAGAAGGGGCAAAGCTGGGGCGTGCCCTTGAGTAGGAGCCGTGCACGCAGGGAGGGTTGGTCTTGGGCAAGAACCCAAGACGGGACATCCCTTGTCCCAGGAGGATAGGCGTGGTGTGACTCAAAGGCAGGAGGGCTAGGAAATCAGGTGATGGGAGGAGTGAGGTTATCTGCTCTGAGGGAGGTGGGGGAGGAAGGGAGGGACATTTCTGGAGAGAGGAATGGCTTTCTAGGACACTGAAAGAGATAAGAGCCTCGACAGATGTTGCAGAACTTCCAGGCAGGGCCAAGGGTCACTCAAGGTCAGCAGTCAGGAATCTAAGCCATGTCAGCTGCGTGGGTGCAGGTGCAAAGGGGCAGAGATTGCATGTGATCGTAGCTGGGGCTTTGCTGGGCAGCATGACGGAGGGACAGATGAGCAAAAGGGACAGGAGCAGAGCGAGGGAGTGACCACACCAGGGACTTCGGAATCTAAGCCAGGTGAAAGGAAGAGAGAACATAAAAGTGGAGGGATGGCGAGAAGAGGGTAGAGAGGGCTCAGCTCCCTAGGGTCCCAGGTCCCAGTGGGTTTGAGGGCTTGGTGGCATTGGCATACTAAAGGGAGTGAGCTGGAAGGTCAGGAGGTGATGTTGGAGAGGGTTGCTGACAAGGGAGTTTGTAGGAGTGCAGTTCTTGGTAGTGACACGGTATAGGATCTGCCCACAGGAGGGAGTGGCTGAGGCCAGGTGGGGGACAGGACTAGTGGAGGAGAGGAGGTCAAGGGACTGAGGGGCCAGGGTGCCAGCACACCACATGTGGCTATTGAAATAAAAACTGGTGGGCCGGCCCAGTGGAGCACTGGAGAGTGCGCCACTTGGGAGCACGGCGGCGCTCCCGCCGAGGGTTTGAATCCCATGTGGAGACCGGTTCCCGCTCACTGGCTGAGCGCGGTGTGGGCGCAACACCGAGGGTTGCGATCCCATTGGCGGTCCCTGGTACGGGCGCGACACCGAGGGTTGCAATCCCGTTACCGGTCAAATAAGAAAAACAAAAAGAAAAAAAACAAAAAAAAAGAAATAAAAACTGGTGACAGCAGGCTAGAGACAGGGGCAGGAGCTGGCAGCCTCAAGGAGCAAGAACAGAGTGGCAGTGGGGCAGGGCGGGGGTCTCTGTAGATAGATGGTGTGGTCTGAAAAATTCAATTTGAGTCTGAGGGTTTATGGAGCAAAGAAAGATGATCTGGAAGGGACAGTGAGGATCAAGGAGGAACCCTGACTTCCTCTGAGCCCAGGGGTGGGAGGAGCGAGGTAGAAACAGCCAGGACTGAGAGGGCTGCAGGGGAGAGCAGGTTTCTGTCAGTCTGAAGGTCACGTGCTCTGTGACCGAGCGTCTTGTGTGGAGGACGGTGCATGAGATTGGAAGGGCACTGGGCAGGACGTGAGATGGGGCCAGATTAGAGGATGAGGGGCTGGGCGACTGGGGGTTTCTATGGTGACTGATGCGAACAACGATGAAGAGTGTGTGGGGTGGGAGGCCTCCTGAAGGTATCGTGGCATGTCGTGATGGTCAGGCCATGGGTGTGGGTGGGCAGAGGAGGGTCTTGCTCGCAGCCTGTGGGGCACTGGAGTCCCCTCTCCCCTCCTGCCTTGTCTGTAAAGTGGGGATAATAATACTTGCTTTGAGGGGCCGTGGTGAGCATTTGGGAGCGTTCAGTAGGACTTGTGATTGTCAGGACTATGACCATCGTCACCATTGTCAATGGAGGCAGTCGTTTCATGGGGACAGAGTGAACATGGCAGGTGTTGTGGGGGATTTGATTTCTCCACAAGGTTTAATATTCGAGTGGGTTTCTTAGGGGTCCAGGAAAGGATGGAGGCAGGAGGATATGTAAAAGGGCCCCTCTGTAGTCGGGTGAATGCCTGTGAGTGGACTTGACCGTGGGTGGTAGTCTTGAGGCTGACCTTGACCTTGAGGCATTGGAGAGCCCTGTGGTTGAGAGCAGCTGGTGGAATGAGGAGCAGGGTGGAGGCCTGGTGGATGAATGCTCCAGGCTGGGGCCCAGGCAGACTGAGGGCTTCTCCACACCTCTGTCCAGAGTCCAGATCTCTGGGGTATCAGGTGGATGTGGTGTATCAAGTGGATGGGGAGAGGTCACACTGGGTACTGGCATCAGTCAAGTTTATAACTGCATGTTTGCACCATGTGCAAACGGGGCTGAGAACCCCCTGCAGAGTAGCAGCACGTGAGAATCCACTTGTCTCAGTCCGTTTTCTATTGCTGTTACAGAATACCATAGACTAGGCAATGTACGAAGAAAAGAAATTCATTTCTTACACTTCTAGAGGGTGGGATGCCCAAGAGCATGGCACTGGCATCTGGTGAGGGTCTTCTTTCTGTTGTAACATAGCGGAGAGCATCACATGGTGAGAGGGCAAGAGTGTGCCAGTTCAGGTCTCTCTTCCTCCTCTTATAAAGCCACCAATCCCGTCACAGGGGCCCCACCCTGAGGACCTTATCTAATCCTAATTATGTCCTGAAGGCCCCACCTCCCAATACATACCATCAGCATATAAATTATGTTTCCAACACATGAAATTTGGAGGACACACTCAAACCATAGCACCATTCGTTCATTAACAAGTGTTTATTGAGCACCTACTGCATGCCAGGCACTGTCATAAGTGCTGAGGGTACAGGAGTGAGCAAAACAGACAAAACTCTTGTCCTTGTGGAGCTGAACTTCTAGCAGGAGAGTTGGATAGAAAACAGGCATAGTTACGAATCAGAGCAGGGAAAAGAGACCAGGGAGGGCGGGGGAGAAAGTGGGGTGAGGTGCAGGGATTAAATGCAGTGATGGGGCAGGGGGCTCGTTGAGAAGATGACATTTGAGCAGAGCCCTGAAGAGGGTGAGGGAGTGAGCCTTGTGGATATCTGGAGGAAGAGCATTCTATGCAGAGCAAACAGCCAGTGCAAAGGCCCTGAGGCAGGACAGCCTGGGTGTTCATGGAACAGCAGGAAGACCAGTGGGGCTAGAGCAAAGTGAGTGACAGGGAGCGTGATAGGGAGGAGGAGGTGAGGGAGGTGGCAGTGGCAGGTCAGGAGGAGCCTTGTACGCCATTGTGAGGACTTTGGTTTTTACCGAGTGCAGTGGGAACCACTGCCTTTGAGGAAAGGGACGCCACGATCTGACTTAGATGTGCTGTGCGCGGAAGAGACCAAAGGGGTTGCGGGTGGCACTGGGGAGACCAGGGAGCAGGCTGTCCAGCATCTCAGGCAGGCAGTGATGGTGGCTTGAACCTCGGTGATGGCAGTGCAGGTGGTGAGAGGTGGTTGGCCAAACAGATTTCCTGTTGGATTGTTGAATTCAAAAGTGTCACATTGGGAAGAGGCTTGGGCATGGGGTGGGGTGTCCAGAGTTTTGCCATCTATGTCCTGGCTGCCTGATGCCCAGCCCAGGTTGGTCTCCTGGCCGGTGGCCCTGTCCCCACCACTCCCCAGCCTGGCTATTCGGGGGTGCTGTTTGAACAGCCTGGCAGCCCAGCCCACCACACCTTGCAGCCTCTCTCCTGAGCCCCTAAATCTCTTCCTCTCTCCCTTCTCTGCCAGTGATGTGCCCAAGGGGGCCAAGACCTTTGGTGTCTCTGGGAGCTCTGGGGTGGAGCTCTTTGTGGTCTATGATCCCACACGGGTGACAGAGCCCACAGGCAAGGTCCGCTGGCCTCTGGACGCCAACGTGAATGTGGTCGTATCCGTGGACTCAGCTAGTAAGGACTTAAACGACCTCAAGGTAAGGGGCCACTTCCTCACAGTAAGGGGCTGGATCTTCCCCACCCCACCTCCACCCAAGGTAAGAGCCCCCTCAAAACATACCCCCATTCAGCCACCAGCCAAATCCCACAGAGCTTCTTATGCCTGCGTCCACACAACATACCCTGAGACAACTCCACAGACGCCTAAAACACGAAAATCCGCCCCAACGCCCCCTATCCACAGGTGCACATGAAACCCTCACATTTACCCTGCATTCAGCCTACACACAGACCCCCACCAGAAGCCCCCATCACTCGCGTGTAGACAGGACTCCACAGCGACACCCCGTGTGCACGCGCACACACATGCTCACGTCCACGCCTGTGTGTGTGTCTCCCACACCTAAGCGAGCCTTCCCCTTCATCGACCGCCCTAAGCTCAGGGGATACCCTCTGCACTCTCCCCATCTGCAGGCACCTGCCACACACAGTGACACAGTGACTCAGCCTTTTCTCCCTGGCAGGAAAGGGCAAGGGCTGTGCAGTGTTGGGAGTAGGGCTCGGATCCTACCGCCCCTGCTTGCTGGCAGTGGGGCTGCAGGCAGGACCCTGATGGCCTCCGTAGAAACAATTGCCCTCTGTTCTGGGACCATCCTGGGGGCTCCCTGAGACAGCTGCCCCTTCCCTCCTTCTGCCTCCAGCCTCCCCTGAAGGTAGCCCCCACCCCTGCCAGCTCTCTGTCCTGCCCCCATCCCTTGCTCCCTCGACCAGCTCTGGGAGGCAGGGCAGTCGCCACAGCCTCTCGCCAGAGAAGGCAGCTCTGAATCCACGAGTGTGGGGACTTCAGCAGCCCAGGGGCCTCCACGCCCCTCTGCCTCTAAGCAGGGCTGTCAGGGTGTGTCCTCCGTTTCCCCGGCCACCGCCGTCTCGGAGGGGGTGGCTGTGCTGGCTTAGGGCTGACTATGTTCCCGCAGGTGAAGGTCTCCTACTTTGGGCAGCAGGAGGGCAGTGCCCTGGGCCACAGTGCGCTCTACCTCACTGGTGTCGGTAAGTGCCGTCTCCTGCTGTCCACGTGTCCCCTCCAGGCTGGCTGTTTGAGGGTCTTCAAGGAGTCTCAGAGCGGAAGGTCCATCCATGGCCAGCTTCCTCCCCCACTGAGGAGCTGGCTTCCTCAGAGACCTCCCGTCACTCTGGGACCATAGGATGGAGACCAGCAATCCTTAGGGCCCCAAGATTCTGGAAACTTCACTGCCCAGGAGCCAAAAGCTAGACTCATAATAGGCTCCTTTATCCAGTACACCCTTACTGGACCTCCAGGGTCCAGTAGTAAACTGTGGAGAGCCATGTGTCCCTTCAGCCAGAGCCCAAGGCAGTGAGCTCTGAGACCTGCAGGATCTGGCCCCTACAATCGCAAGGCTGGTCCCCAGCTGCTGGCATTAAGGGCCACCAGTCTATGATCTAGAAGCCCATGGCCACCCAAGAGCTAGCAATTCAACATGCATAGACAAACAAGTAATTCAAGAACCAAAGACTTAGGTCCCTCTAACACCCAGAACCATAGCACAAACCATGGGTCCTCCTAAGTGTTGGGTACGGTCCCTAGGGCAGGGCTTCCTGGTCCTCATGGGTATGGGGGCTGGGCAAAGCTTGCCTGAACTGAACATCACTGGTGTGAAGACAGGGCTGGGTGAGTCCCTGGCAGCCCCTCTGCATCCCTTTTCAGATGTTTCCCTCGATGTCGACACAGGCCGCACAGGTAAGGTGAAGAGGAGCCGAGGTGACAAGGTGAGACTCTTTCAGCTACCCCAAGGCAAGCCTGGGGATGGTTCCGGGGTGGAGTGGACCCTCGCTCCGGAAGGGTGATGGATTCCCAGGGTCTGTGGTGTGCACCAGTACAGGGAACCCATCCATTGTGGTATGCACCAGTACAGGGAACCCATCCAGGGAGGGCCAAATCAGCACAGGTGGGCACTAACTTACATCATGTAACCAGTGTGCTGTGTGACTGTTGCAAAACAGCCTGTGGTGTGCACCAGTACAGGGAACCCATCCAGGGAGGGCCAAATCGGCACAGGTGGGCACTAACTTACATCATGTAACCAGTGTGCTGTGTGACTGTTGCAAAACAGCTTGCCCTCTCTGGGTCTCTCTTGTGCCACCTTGGAATTGGGATCGGTTCTTTTGCTCTCTGCCTTTTCTATTTTGGAGGCTGTGTTTGGACCCCTAAACATGCAAGGTGCTTCCTACGAGGTTGTTGAATAACTGAATCAAGGCAAGGAGAAGACAGGCCTTCTGGTAGACGAGGCTGTGGTGGTTAGCCCAGGTTAGACCCTGAAGGATGAGGAGGAGGATGGGGTGGGCTCTACACGTTACCCCACAGGAAGTATCTAGAAGCTGTCCTGAGAGGGGTAGAAGGTACAGTTGGCAGGGAAGGACTCCAGAGAGGCAGCCCGAGTCACAAGGCTTTGTGGACAAGGTAGGACAGGGCTGCCGTGGGTGGCCGTGCAAGTTGTCCACTGCACAAGGGTGCCTGGGCAAGGTGGTAGGTGGGGGAATCTGATACAAATTATGTCTTGGGCTCTGGTGCAGGGTGGCATCTACCCAGAAGGGTGGACAAGAGTGCCATGTAGGTTAGCAGTGGCCCTGTGCAGTTCCAAAGACCTGGGTCTGAAAGGCCAGCTATGAGGCTTGGGGCTCACCTCTCAGAACCTCTCTTCCTTCTTCTGTGAAGTGGAGAAAATGAGCCTCGCCTTGTGGGTCTGGTGGGGACAAAGTGGAGGCATGTCGGGGAGAGCAACGTCCACAGAGGCAGGCAGGGCTCTAGCCACCTTTCCCACCTCAGCTTGGACTTCAGGTTGCAGGACCTGCAGCACCACAGGCGGATGCCAGAGACATCTGCGAGATAGGCCCCAGGAGAGTGCTGGGATTGGGAGGGTCTCCCAGGGATTCTCCAGTACCCCCGCTCCCACCAAGGTCAGGGTGGGGCAGCCTCTGTCCCCCAGGCAGGGCCAAAGCCTGGTCAACTTTTGAGTGCCATTTCTACCAACATCACCCTTGCTCCTCCAGTGCGATGGCTGGACAGAGGCTCTGTGTATGGCTGTGTAGGTTGTTCAGTGTACAGCGGGGTGGCTCTGGATCTAGAGCCTTACCTGGAGCTCCAGTCCCCAAATATATAATCCCTCTTTAAATCTTTAAGCAAGCCCAGAATACGAAAGTCTCCAAGCTAACAAAGCAGCCAGCCCTGGCCATATCCGGAACCCCTTCTTGGAGGCTCCTGGGTCCCCTTGATCCCAAGGCATCTTGCTTTGTTGCAGAAAACCTGGCGCTGGGGTCCTGCTGGCTATGGGGCTGTCCTGCTGGTGAACTGTGACCGGGACACTCACAGATCCAGGGAGATTGACCTCGCCGACAGCCAGCTGACCTCATTGGACGGTGAGTGACAGAGGGGTTGCCTGGGGTGGCGGAGTGGGGGGATGGGAGAGTATCTTGTTGGTGGGTCGGAGGAAGGGTTGTTCAAGGGGGCTGCTCTCCCCAGACCTGCAGGACATGTCCCCAATGGTGCTGAGCTGTGAGGGTCCTGATGAACTCTTCAACAGCCACAAGCTGGTCTTGAACATACCCTTATCTGATTCCAAAAGAGTGGGGGTCTTCTGCGCTCGGGGTGAGTGGCCTGGTGGGGCTCTTCCCTCCCTGCTTCAACCATTTCTTTTCTCTCCTCCCCCATCTCTCTCCTCCTTCCCTGTCCTTTTCACAACTCTCACTACGGCTTACAATAGCCAACTCCATCCATGCACAGCGTGGTACCTAAGAAGGGGGCTCAGCAACTAGTCCCATTTTACAGAGAGGAAAACTGAGGCTCAGCTGCATGGACTCACTGTCATACAGCAACTGAGGGTAGAACAGGCATTTCAATCCAGATGTCGTGGGTGCCAGAGCCCCTCTTCTTTCCACTGCCAGGACCCCATCTCCTCTGGTGGTCAGTCAGTGCAGACTGAACTTTCCCCACACGCCAAGCACTGTCTATGCAGGGCAGGGAGGGGCAAGAACCAGCGAGGCTGAGGCTCAGACCCTGCTCTCCGAACCTGGCTGTTCTGCCAGCGTTTTTATTAATTAAAATCTGTAGCTTTAAAAAATACACCAATCCTTAACTCCGAGGCGCCTTACTTGTGTTAATAAATAGCAAGATCCTCTCCTGTTTCTTCCTTCTTCCCCTGTCCCCTTTTCTGTTCACACTGACCCAGAACTTTTTCTCCAGCTAATGAGCCTATTCCTTGGCGTGCACCGGTGGTGGACATTTAGGCAGAGGCCCAGCTTCAAAACACTCTGTGTGATGCCAGCACATAAGCAAAGTCTCAATAAGTGAATTGACAACTTCTTCTGCTGTGAACACAGCTCCCCAGGGTGACTCTGCCTAGGCCACCCTCAGGGGAGGAGAGAAGGGGGCAGAGGCAGAACCACTCTGGGCCGGGCACTTTCTTTTTAACCAAAATGAAATTCACATAACATAATAGTAGTCACTTTGAAGTGAACAATTCAGTGGCACTTAGTACATTCTTGGGATTGCGCAACCACCTCTACCTAGCCCAAGACGGCTTCATCACCCCAGATAAAAACCCACCCCCACCCCGACCCCTTGGCAACCACTCACCTGCTTTCTGTCTCTATGGATTCACCTATCTGGATGTTTTGTGTAAGTGGAATTTTACAATGTGACCTTTTGTAACTAGCTTCTGTCACTTAGCATAATGTCTTCAAGCATGATTCTGAACCTTGTTACTTTTTAATGGATGAATAATATTCCACTTTATGGATATATCACGTTTTGTTTATTTTGTTTATCCATTTATCGATGGACGGACACTGGGTTGCTTTTACCTTTCGTGCCAGGTGCTTTTATCTCTTTATTTGGTTTAAAGTTTACATTGGCCTCGTGAGAAATGTAATGTTAGTCCATTTTACAGATGAGAAACTGAGGCTCAGAGAGGTTGAGTAATTGAGCCAAAGTCACACAGCTTGTGCATGGCAGAGCTGGAGAGGAGCCCACGCAGATCTCACCACAAAGGCGGCTCTGCCCCTGGGTTCCTGGCCTTGGGTTTCCTGAACGCCCATCCTCACAGCCCCACACTCCTGACCCAGCACTGGCCCTCTGACTCTGGTCCTCCCTAGGTGGGAATTCTCTCGCAGACTACAAGCAGGTGCTGGGGCCCCAGCACCTGTCCTATGAAGTCGAGCGGCAGCCAGGGGAGCGGGAGATCAGATTCTATGTGGAGGGGCTCACCTTCCCTGACGCTGACTTCTTGGGGCTGGTTTCCCTCAGCGTCAGCCTGGTGGACAAAGGGGTATGTACAGCGTTGGGGGGTGGGCATGGGGACTGGGGATTGGGGGACCAGTCTGGAGGCTCTGGGGCTGGGCAGGCTGAGAGCTGGGGAATCTTGTGGCCTGATGGGGCTTGGGCAGGCTAAGGGTCCCTGCGTGGCCCACTGAGTCCTCTTTTCTTCCCAGACAGTGCCCAAGGTGACCCTCTTCACAGACACTGTGGCCTTCCGTATGGCCCCCTGGATCATGACCCCCAACACCCAGCCTCCCCTGGAGTTGTATGTGTGCAGGTGAGGCCCCCACCCCTCCTGTAGCTCTCCCAGCAGCTCTGGACGTGTAGAAGTAGGAGTAGATTGCGGTGTTGGGGCTAGCCCCTCACTCAGACCAACAAATTCATCGAGAACACCCGCGGGGGTGGAGCTGGGTACAGGGCAGCAGCAGGTGGGCTTGCCTGTTGGCTCCACCCTGCCCCAGACAGAGCAGATAAGGCCCCAGACAAAGTCACTGACTCCAGCTCCAGCATCCCTGCCCCCACCCCGTCCTGTCACAGCAGCGCTGGCACATCTTGGATTTAGTCTGGGAAGTGGGGCCAGGCCTTGCTCAGGCTGCTGGAAGCCATAGGAGACCCAGCCTTGCTGTGACGTGGCAACACTCCTGTGCCTGCTGAAGACATGGGAACCCAGCCTCTGGGGTCCACTGTGAGCCCGACCCAGTCCAGGTCCCTGGTCCTCCTGCCTTCTGTCTGAATCCTGGTCATGCCCCTTGATTGGAGGGGTGAGCCTGCATCAGCAAGGCCCCACCAGGACTCTGTGTCAGAGGCCGGACAGTGGAAAGAGCCACAGTTGAGCGGGACGTAAATCAAAAGGCTGAGAAGGGTGTGGCGAAACAGGTTTGCTGTGCTTACCTGGGTCAGGTATGTTCAGGTGTTCAGAGGGAATCCTTTCCTCCTGTTTGCTCACCAACCCTGCCCTGACCCGTTTGCTTAGGCCAATGTGTAGAACAGGAGTAGATGGGGCTACCTGCCCCCCTCATTACTACCTTAACCAATAAGACTCAGCCCCAGGTCACCTCCATGGTAGCCTCCTGGACTGCCTGTGCTGGCCTTGGTGCCCTGCCTTCAGGATCCACAGCGTGGGGTACCCTTCACATTGCACTTGTCACCTGACATGATCTGGGGACATTATGTCTCCCACATTAGCCCACGAGCCTCTCTCTAGGACGGGGTCTGTTTCTGAAGCCCTGTACCCTAGGGCTGCACAGGGCCCAGCATAGACTGAGTCAAGGCCACCTCCTGCCTTGGCCACAGTTGAGAGGTCACTTACACTCCCCTCTCCCCGTCTTTTACAGTGTGGTAGACTCTCATGGCCCAAATGACAAATTTCTGAATGACATGTCTCACTTGGCATTGAAAGCCAACTGCGAGCTGATCATCTGCCCTCAGATAGAAAACCGAAATGACCGCTGGATCCAGGTGGGTGCAGAAGCAGACTCTAGAAAAGAGCTGGGGGCAGCCTGGGAGGCCTGAGCGCTCCCGCCCACCAGCCAGCTTTGCAGGAAGTGGAGCCGGCTCAGGTTCCTAACCGGCCTTGCTCTCCCTAGAAAAGCCAGACCACCTGTGTGCCAGGACTCTGGAGGAAAGGGCCTTCCTCCTGCCCGCGTCAGCCCCAGCCTCTCCTGCTTCCTTCCAAATGCTCGGGTCCCAGGCCAGAATCCTCTCCTGACTGGGGCCCCAAGAGGCCTCAGCTCTGTCTCTGCCCCCTCCCAGGTCTTGGGGAGAGTCTGCTGCCCTGCCCTGCCCCAGGCCTGGTGGGGATCTCCCTGTGTGAAAACTACCACCAGGAGGTCACTGTGGCTTTTTCTTTTCTCCCCTCCTAGGATGAGATGGAGTTTGGCTACATTGAGGCCCCTCACAAATCCTTCCCTGTGGTCTTTGACTCCCCCCGTAACAGAGGCCTGAGGGATTTTCCCTATAAGAAGATCCTGGTATGTGGCACAGAGCAGAGTGGGGAACCCTTGAGTAGTTCCCCCTATAGGAGCCCCTCATGAAGTCTCATCTGGACCTGGTCCTTTAGGGCCCAGAGAACAGGAAGAGTGAAGCAAAAGGCCACAGGAGGTGGGATGTCAGCACACTGGGGAGTCAGGGGGAGGTTCAGGCAGGAGATGCAAATGATATGCAAATCACATGCAAAGTAGGCAATTGCCCCTGTTCTGGGAGGGGCAAGACAGCACTTTTTCTAGATCTAGGGGCCTGTTCTTCAATGGGGAATCAACAGAAGGATCTGCCGTAGGGGGACCAACCCGCCTTCTGAAGGGAATGCACACTTAGTGAGCCCTTACAGCTCTCATTTTAAGAGCTAGGGCCTCTCTGCAGGTAACAAATGTTTCCTGAACACCTACTTTGTGCCAGGCACTGTGCTACCTCCTGTGCACAGGATGGCAACAACAGCACCTGCCATCGTGTATTGAATTCCAAGTACTGTCCCCTGGCTTTCCACGGGTTACCTCATTTAATCCACAGGGCAATCCTATAAATATGTGCTATTATTATTCCCTCTGTATGGATGAAGAAACTGAGGCTCAGAAAGGTTAAGTAACTTGCCAAAGGCCATGCAGCAAGTTAGTGGTGGCTCAAGATGCCAAACCAGAGGGGCTGCCTCATAGCTTGCACACTTAACCACTAGGCTGCTCTGCCTTTTGAGGTGGGCCCGAACTCTCTGCCTGCTTCCCGGCTCCCAGTCCCCCACCACCGTCCCCCATCGGCGGGACAGCGCCGGCCCACATGGGAGCTCTGATGGGGAAGTCTTGGAGCCTGTGGGCACACAGAGGAGGGACGTTCACCCCAGCCTGGAGGGGTCAGGTGACAATGAGCCCTGCAGGGTGAGGCATCAACCAGGGGCAGTGTGCTGGGTGGCAACCTGACTGACCCCAAGCCTCAGGCTTAACCCGTAGGTGCTGGGGGATTTTTCACTGGTTTCTGCTTTTATCTTTTTCATTTCTCACCTACTTCCTCCGGGTTTAGTTTGCTGTTCTTTTCCTAGCTTGACGAGGGAGCTAAGATTTTTCAAACTTTTCTCTTTCTAACACATGTGTTTAGAGCACTGGCAACTCCATCAGAGAGCTGTGTCCCCACTGTCCCACAGGCTTTAACATGCCATATTTTAATTACTTTTCACTTCAAAATATTGTCTAATTTTCACTTTGGTTTATTCTTTGACCCCTGGGTTGTTTAGACATGTTTCCTTAATTTCCAAACATTTGGGGATTGTCTACATATCTTTCACTTATCGACTTGCACTTGAATTGCACAGTGCTTAGAGCAATTAGTAAAAAGTGGAAAGAGGTGGTGTTTCAGGCGTGAGGAGCCAGGAAGGGGGAGCCCCCAGCCTCATCTCCCCCCTTCCAGAGTTGCCTCTTTCTGTCCTAACTGACCCCTCCTTCTTGGGGCGGGGTCTTGCTGGTCCTTCCCTAGGGTCCTGACTTTGGATACGTAACCCGGGAGATCCCGTTCTCGGGCCCCTCCAGCCTTGACTCCTTTGGCAACCTGGACGTCAGCCCGCCCGTCACGGTGGGCGGCACCGAGTACCCCCTGGGCCGGATCCTCATTGGCAGCAGCTTCCCCAGGTGAGAGGCCGGGGCAGGAGGGTGGCGGGACGAGGGACCCACTGCAGCATCCACACTCCGGGTCCCCTCATCACAAACACAGTTCCCTAGTCTGAGGAGTGGTCTTCATTTCCTGCGTGGAATCCTAGAATCAGACTCAGAGTTCTAGAATCTACCATTTAACAGGTCACAGAATCTTGGGAGAAAACTCACAAACTAGTGGCCTGCAGTCTTTTGACCTACCTAATTTTATGAGCTTCATTAGTCACCCACATTAAATATATGTATCAGGAGGCCTCATATAAAAAGCCAGACTTCTGGCTTCTCTTGAAAAATCAGAGGATCTAGGGAGTGATGTGTCATCTGGCACAGAGGCAGGGGAATGGACTTCTTGACTTCCCCCAGTAGGAAGTCAAAATAGCTGCTGTCCTAGCAATGGCTTGAAAGGGCCCAGAGGTCACCAAGTTCCCAGGGCAGGTGGCTGCAGGTGAGTGAGTGACTGGCCAGGATACCAGCGTGACAGAAGTGACCTGGTGGGTCCCGCCCTGGACAGCCATGATGGGCAGGAAACAAGGTATTTAGGGCTTAGTGCTCCAAAAGGTGACAGTATCTGCTAAATCCCCTGAATGGGTCCACACCCTGCCTGCAGGTACCTGAGGAGTAGGTGTGCAGCGTAGGATTCTGGTGGGGACCCCTGCCTCCTGCTTGGACATTACATGTGCCGCAAGGCCTGGAGGTCACCTTCCCATTTGTGGGGGGTTAGCATGGAGCCCAGGTGTGCTCCAACTTGACCCTCAGACCCTGGCTGACCATCTCGTCTCAGGCCCAGAGGAGTCAGGCAGTGCTAAGAAGGTCACACAGCCTCACATGGTAAAGCTGGCAGCCTCAGGGCTCTGGATCAGGTGAGGCCAGGCTTTCAGGCAGCAACCCAGGCACATAGCTGGGTATGCAGGCTTGGTGCCCGGGGCTGAGGTTGACTGGGGCAAGAGGAGTGTGCTCACCCTGCAGTGACTCATGCCAGACACTACTGTGGGGGTGGATCCTGCCCACACCCCTGGGGTCTGAAGGGCGGTGAGGCCTCAAGGCAGTCTTTCTGTGACTATGGGGAGAGACCCAGGAGGAAGGAGCACAGGCTTTGGAATCAGGTGGACTTGGGTTCTAGTCCTGGACTTGCCACTTACCAGCCATGTGACTTCGGGTATGTCACCTAACCAGTGTTAACCTTGGTGCCTAGCACACAGTAGGTGCTCAATTAATTCATTTAAAAATATTTATTGCATGTTAGGCATCATCAGAGGTTCTAGGGGTATACCAGTGCACAAGACAGACACATTTTAAGTGAACAAATTATTTTATATTCCACGCTTCAACTTCCTCATCTGTAAAATGGGCCTGATAAAATCCCTGTCCTAGCTATTTAATCAGCATGACTGGGTATAAAGAATTTATATTAAACCACCTTCTGTCTGAATGCTTAGATATTGTTCAACTGGCCCCCTGCAGTGGATCTGCTATGAAGGGGGTTGGAACTCACAGGACAAAATTTGTTGATCACCTACTATGTGCCACATACATAATGCTTTCCCCAGGTTACCTCATTTATTCCTTACAACAACTCTAGAGATTGGGACTATTATTATTCCCATTTTACAGATGAGGAAGCTGAGGCCCAGGAAAGTTACGTGCATTCATTCATGCATTCATTTACCAATTCAATAAATATTTATTGAGACTTTCTCTGTGCCAGGCCTGGGGCGCAGTGCTGGGGATATAGAAATGACCAAGGAAGTAGCCCTCAAGCATTTACAGTCTGCTGAGGGAGGCAGGCAAGCCGGCAAGACATTATACCCCAGTGGGATCACGTATGGTCCAATGTGGGGTGTCAAGGAAGGCTTCTTAGGGGCAGCAATGACACAGATGAGTAATGATAAAGGATGAACAGACTTTAGCAGGTGAAGAAAGGAGCAAGGCAGATGGAGTGAGCCAGTGTTCTGGGCAGAGGGAACAGCACAGGCGAAAGGCTGGAGTCCAGGGAAAGTGTGGCTCCAGGGAAGAGCTTTGGGAAGAGGCGGTACAGGGGGCGGGTAGGTGGGCAGGGTGCACTGGCCACATCTCAGGCAGGAGGGGCTTGTGCAGGTCCAGGTGGGGCAGGGTGTGGGAGCCTGCAAGCATTCTGCTCAGATGCGTCGTGAGATTGTCCTCCCCACCAGCAGCCTGGGAACTGGGTCTCAGGGGCAAAGGACTCAGAGAATGCAGGCTCAGGAAGGGAAAGGGACTCTCTTCCCCAAGTGCTTTGTTTTTTTCTCTGGCCCAGGCTCCTGCCCCAAGACACTGCAACACAGGTACACCCTTACTGCATCCCCCACCTACCCCACCAGCTTCACTAACTAGCAGGTCAAACTGGGAACCTCCTCTCAGCCCAAGGCTACGGGGGCCTGTTCTGAGAACTCCCAGGCACAGATCAAGAAGCCCGGCTGGGAAAGAAAGAGGTCTCTAGTGTGGGCCTCCTGCCTGCCGCCATTGGCTGTTGTGTTCAAGATCAGGAATAAGACTTTTGGTGGACAGATGGAACCCTGAGGTTCAGAGAGGGACAGCTACTTGCCTAGACTACACAGCAAGCTAGTGGGACAGTCAATCTAGGTCTTTCTCCTTGGGCCCCAAACTAAATGGTGGACAGATGGAACCCTGAGGTTCAGAGAGGGACAGCTACTTGCCTAGGACTACACAGCAAGCTAGTGGGACAGTCAATCTAGGTCTTTCTCCTTGGGCCCCAAACTAAAATTTAGCACTTCAGGCTGCTGTCCTGTGTTCCTGCCTTGGCTTCTGACCTCAGCAGTGAGCAAAAGAGACAAGCTACATGCATTCTAGCAGAGGGAAACAGTAAGCAAACGTAGCAAGCACGTCAATCGTATATGTGATGGAGGGAGCCTCAGTCAGATGTGACATTTAAACAAAGCCTTGAAGGAGATAAGGGAATTAGAGATGTGGCCTTTTAGGAGGAGAATGTTCCAGGGAGTGGAAACAGCCTGTGCAAAGGCCCTGAGGCAGGATCCTGCCCAGAGACATTAGAGGAACAGCAAGGAGGCTGGTGGGGCTGGAGCAGAGGGAGTGCGGAGAGGCGTGGTGGGGAGCGAGGTCAGAGAGCTCGGTAGAGTGGACTTGGGGTAACCTGGAGCTGCAATCTGTATGTATATTATATAGCTAACACGAGGACTGAACAAAGTATTTAGTGGAAGGATCCTGAGGCAGGCACACAGTAGGTGCCCAGCAGATGACTGGTCCGTCTGCACCCTCTGCGTGCCACATTTA